TTCGTGACTCATCGATCAGAACTATGTCATCGGCAAATAGCATGCACCATGGCACCTCCCCCTATATATGGTTTGTTAACGCATCCATCACCTGGGCGAATAAGAAGAAAAAGTAATGCCCTAATATTATAGTACATGTTAAATTTCAGATTTTTAAAGCAAAGGCGTAGGTACTTGTTGAAAAGCCAATCTTCCCATGTTGATAGTGAAAGAGATATTCCACATATGAAGAATTTCGATACCGAGAGTGAAGTTCCTAAAGAAGAAAGATTCAATAGTGGCTATGATGCTGCAGGAGAAACAGCTCGTCCCGCCTTCACCTCAAAGTTCAACTCGGTAACATACTATGGTTTATATACGTCAAGGATTTAAACTTTCACTTCCTCATGAGTTGTGTATGTATAAATTAATTATTTATGTTACAGGGATACGAAGTAGGAGATGACGAAGCGCTAGCAGGTAGGGACGTGTTGAGGTTGGAGTTTCTGCCGAAGAATTACCTGATTGATGACAGCGGAGTTGGAAAGAAGAAACTCTCTTGGCATGGTGAAGTTACTTTTAAGGTTTAAAATTCTGATACATCTTACTTTCAGGAGACTGATCTTCATAAGTTTGTGGATAAGTCAGTCTTCATCTCGTTGAATACTGATATGTCGTTTCCTTTTTCCCCTGGGAGAAACAGTTCAACTTGGGAATAATTTATAATATGAATTTTGTTTTAATAATTTGCAGTACTTTAGTTTGATGGTAGTGATGCTTGTGTTTTCAACTGTCTACTATCTGATGTGGTACCTTTGCTTTATATGCAAGAGGTGGATCCAGGATTTTTATTAATATAATGAACCTCCTTTCCTGTTTCCTGTTCATATGATTTCTTTGCTAATACTAATATTGTCTCCTTTTGTGTTTTTGTTTTCTTGAGCCGAGGGCCTTTCGGAAACAGCCTCTCTACTTCTTCGGGGTAGGGGTAAGGTCTGCATACGTACTACCCTCCCTAGACCCCAGTAGTGGAATTTTACTGGGTTGTTGTTGTATATATGCGTATTTTTAGTTCTTAAAATGTAATTCACCTATATAACCAAAGGCAGACGGACCGATGTATTAAGAAGAGGAATCACTAGACCCCGTTAACCTCGACAAAAATTCTAGATATATATGTGTATATATTGAAAACGGTCATACATTCTGCCTGGAACTCTTACGATCAAAAGTCTGACAGGGCACTTGTTGAGCAGTCTGCTGAAGTGCCTGACACCTTCAAATCCCGAGTCCGCCTCTGCATATAATAAAAAAAAATTGATGAAGAGGATTCATTTGAACTGAGTTGTTCCTTTCTAGATCTGCCCATGTTTATATGCATGGATCTTGCAGAGAATTGCAAATTAATAGTTCTATTTAAAATGACTGATTGGAAACAGTATAAACTGATAAAAGATATGTTAAAGCGAGTGCAATTGTAATCCTGTTGGCTAGAATGATATGCTCATAGCCTTCCTTTCCTCTTCTGTCTCTAAAGCTTTTGTTGCTTTGACTCACAGCATGAGCTGAGCATCTATATATATAAATATTTACAGATCACAGGTTGCTGATTAACACTCGATGTGTCGTCTCTGCCTTTTTAACAATGTTTTTATTGAGAGTACCTTCTCATTGTATGAGTGATCAGGAAAGTTGCTGACTGAAACTGGCTTTTTAGCTATCACATTTGCTTAAGAGTTATGGTTTTCCATATGCAGCACGAGGGTTCTCATAGAAGGGAAGATTGTTCTATATGTTGACTGTAAATCGAGTGGAAAGAGAGAGGAGCTTGAGCAAAGGCACTTCTCTTTGTGTATGAGATTTGCTGGATACTGCAGAATAATTTTTACTATTTTTTTATATAACGGTGGTGTTGGTTGCGCAGACTCTCCAAAATGATATTGCATCCGTGTCGGATCCTCCAACAAAACATTATTTTTGGAGGATTCGACACGCACCCAACAACATTTTCGGAATGTCCGAGCAACATAGGTTGAGACTAGTTTGGGCGCACCATGACTCTATACCACCAAGTACTTGTTATCTCTCACCGGCACAAGTATGGGAAAGTATACTCACAGTGGATTAGGCAGATCGAAAAAAAATTAAGGTTTTCTTTTTCCTTTACTGGAATGTGAATCCTAATATAACTAGTTGCTCAAGTAACTAGAGTAAGGTGTGTTACTTCAAATAAAGGAATCAGATATTCAGAATGGTCTGGTGCTATTTGTAGGCAAGTTTACACTTTTTGATATAATAATTGAGAAATTAGAGAAGATTGAGAACAACAAAGTCGATATGTCCGAGTGGTTAAGGAGACAGACTTGAAATCTGTTGGGCTTCGCCCGCGCAGGTTCGAACCCTGCTGTCGACGCAAATCTGTTTTTTTTTCGAGCTAGTTATCAATATTTAGGCTGTATTTGTTACGAAGGAAAATATTTTCCAATTTTCCCATATTTGGTTGGCCTAAATATTTTGGAAATCATTCTCTCATTAACTCAATTTTGCGTATCAAGAGAAGGAAAAGCATTTTCCAAAACTCCTTCTCAACCTTCCCCATCCTATTATCCATCCCCACAAACCCCCATGAACTCACCCCCACCCCCAACCCTTGCCTCACCCCACCCCTACCATAAATAAAAATATTACTATTAGTATTTCCTTTTCATGTTATAGATAGACTTTTTTTCATTTCAATAAATGATTGTTTTTTTCATGATATAAAAAAGTATTTTTTTTCTTTTTAACAAAAAAATACTTTCTTTTCCGGTAGAAAAAGTATTTTTTTCATTTCAACAAAAAAAATATTTTCTTTTCATAATGTAAAAAAGTATTTTTTTTCCTCATTTTAACAAAATGAGTATTTTCTTTTCATGATGTAGAAAAGGTATTTTCTTTTATTTCAATAAAATGAATACTTTATTTTTATGTTGTAGAAAGAATACTTTCTTTTTCAATGAAAAAAATAATATTTCTTTTTGGTTATGGAGCACAAATTTTAACGTTATTTTTGCGTAAGAAAGTAAAGCAGCACATTAGTTCTTTTAAGTTTGTGTGAATTTTTAGAGACTTGAGTTTTTTTTTTTTGGGG